AACATAGTTTTTCCTGAAGAGAAATTCTCAGTAAAGAAACTGAGGGCTGTTTTCAGGCTGGGACTGAAGCTCCCAACTGCTCCTTTTTTTCTTTATTTTTATTCTGGGCCAGCTTTAGCTCTGGCTCCAGCTCTGAGGCCTCTGCTGCTGAAACCAGGTATCTGGTTTGTTTGTGTTCTATAATTGAAATTCTGTCTCACCTCCAGCTCTGAGATCCTGGCTGGCTGAAAGCAGGTTTCTGGGGTTTTGTTTAGCTTCTATATTTGTAAGAATGTTTCAAACTGCAAGCTCAGAGGCCCGCAAGGCAGGCGGGAAACGTTGCAGTCCTCCGTCACTTAAGCAAGGAAGCCTCATGTTAGTTTCAAGCTGCCTGGCTGCCGGCCGCCATCTTGGCTGGCAGTTAATTTGCATATCTCACTGATTAGCCAATGGGAAGGGTAGCGGTTGTACGCTAATTACCATGTTTCTCTTTTATTAGATAGGATATTTATAAATAATTTAATGTTCACTGGGAGCAAAGAGTATTCTAGCCCTGACATAGTCCAACTGTGAAATGATAAAGAGCTTGCACTAAACACTATTCATTATTAGGATATATGGGCAGAGGAAGGAATAATGTTTTTTGCTTTCTGTATCCTTGGTTAGAATTTTTTGCCTTTTTATTTTTATAATTTTTGAACTCAAACTGTTTGTTATACTCCCTAATTCTTAGTTTTCAAAAATTTTGTCTTATTATTTATGTATTGGGTTGATATGAAGTCCTTAGTAATTAAATATACTTTCCTTTATTGGAGAGGATTAAAATTTAAATTGATTAGATGAAAATCTAGCATATTAAATTACTGATGAATTTTATTTATTCATTTGCTCTTTTAGTTGGCTCTTCGAAATGAGGAAGCAGAAAATGAAAACAGCAAATTAAGAAGAGAGGTTGGTAAAAAAAAATTTTAGTATCTGTGGTGTTTCAACAAAGATACTTCTTAAAAAATTTTTTAAAAATTTATGCTGTAACCAGAAACTGGAATCATCTAAGTAAATGATGTTTTCAAACTGGCTGATTTTATGACATGACTTTGTGTCAGGGAAATAGAAAATGAATCTAGAGGTGAGGCCATTAAGTACTACAATCATCTCTTATGCCTATTTGGATAAATCTTGCTTCCTGTTGTATAAACTATTCTTCGTTAGTGCCCTAACTGAATATATGACTGTCTTATTTTCTTATATTTATCCAGCATCCTTTTAAGATTTTTGTTGATGAAATCTTGTCAGTTCTAATTATTATTTGGTTTTTCTGAGCCAAATAATGTTTGTACATTGTTTATCTTGATAAGAATTTTTATCTTTTTAACACCATCAAGATGTTGTTTTTGTTGATAATTAATATTCTTGCTTTCTTTGTTTATCCAAAATAATATCTCATCCTTTTAGAATTTCTCTTTATTTTTTTTAATTTCTGATTATTATTTTTAATTATATTGCCTTTCTCATTTCTAATTACTCTTTCCTGTCCTTTTCTGGAGAACAAACGTCTAAAGAAAAAGGTGAGGCTTTAGGGGTGGTGAAATCTGGGGATTTTAAAGATATGTTTTGAGGTCACTTTTTAGAGGATAAAATTTTCTTTTTCTGGATAGTTTCTTAATAGAATTTTGTATTTCGTCTACCTTCAGAATGAACAGCTTCGTCAGGATGTTATTGACTATCAGAAACAAATAGATTCACAAAAAGAAACACTGTTATCAAGAAGAGGAGAAGACAGTGACTATCGATCACAGTTGTCTAAAAAAAACTATGAACTTGTTCAATATCTGGATGAAATTCAGGTAAAATGGATAGAAGTCAGTTTAAGGCAGTGCTTCTTATAAAACTTTAATTTCATTATAGTATAAAACTCTTTAGCCCTACATTTAAATTCTTTAGTATAACTCTATAACTGTATTTGTAAAACATGAAATAAATTGTATCTTGGAAGGTGCAAATCTTGCAAATCATTCTTTTTATATGCCTATCTTGGGCATTGTTTAAGAAGAAGTAAGATCCTTAGGTAAAGTGTTCTTGATATTAATTTGATTTAATTGGTCAACAACAGTTGATACTAAAGATCTATGAAGAATTCTCTTTTCTTCAGCAGGTACTTATGATGCCATTTAATTTTAATTTAGCTTAAATTTTAGTTTCTTAAATTGTTTTTAATCAGAATGTCTTCAACTTTCTTAGACTTTAACAGAAGCTAATGAGAAAATTGAAGTTCAGAATCAAGAAATGAGAAAAAATCTAGAAGAGTCTGTACAGGAAATGGAGAAGATAACTGATGAATATAATAGAATGAAAGCTATTGTGCATCAGACAGATAATATAATGGACCAATTAAAAAAAGAAAATGAGCATTATCGGCTTCAAGTAAGAATTTCTGTTGAACTAACTTATTTTTGCAGACCTTATAATGCCTTGTTACTAATTATTTGAAACTAGATAGTACTTTAACATTTGTAGGATATGAATTTTTGTTTTATGCTGCAGTATGTCATTTTATACTGTAATATGTTGCCTTGCTGATACATCTTCTTTATACAGTGGGGCCTTGACTTACGAGTTTAATTCGTTCCGAGACCGGGCTCGTTAAGGAGCTCGTTAACTCAAATTACTCTGTCAACTCAATGCAAGAAGTCGGCCGAGAGACAGCTGGTATCTCAAAAAACTTGTTAGTTGGGACACTCGTAAGTTAAGGCCCCACTGTATATAAAAGGCTAATATGCAAAGTGTCCCCTTGGGACTGGGAGTTCAATCGCTTGCTATGACATGCACTGACCACCAAGAGGTGGCACGAAACGAAGGGATGCCCTAGTCAGCAGCCGGCAGCTGGGGAAGGGAGGCCCCAGCCGGTAGCTGGAATGAAGGCCCTGGCCAGCATCTGGAAGTGCCTGATCAGCCATGATCACTGGCCAGGCTTAGGGACCCTACCCATACAGAATTTCATGCACAAGGCCTCTAGTTTACCCATATCTAGTTCTCTAATTTTCTTACATGTACCTCATAATTCTTGCCATGTAGGACATATAGGTGATACATAACGAACGTGTAGATCAGGGGTTCTCAACCTGTGAATCGTGACCCCTTTGGCGGTCAAATGACCCTTTCACAGGTGATGCCTAAGACCATCCTGCATATTAGATATTTACATTACGATTCATAACAGTAGCAACATTGTAGTTATGAAGTAGCAATGAAAATAATTTTATGGTTGGGTCACAACATGAGGAACTGTATTTAAAGGACCAGAAGGTTGAGAACCACTGGTGTAGATAGTAGTCCTACAAAGCTAATAATTATGGGAATTTTCTACAAAGACTCTTAGGAGTACTGTGATATAAAAAGTTAAATTTTACATCATAAATATACAATAAAAATCAAAGAAACCAATATGTTGTTCATTCATGGGTTTAAACTTTATTTAAGAAAATATAATGATACTTAAAAATATAATTTTCTAGTAATGAAAAATAATTATACAACTCTAAAGGTGCAGTAACCATTAAATGTCAACTCTATAACGAGATAACTGCTCCAATAATCTATACTAATAAAAGGGTAATATGCTAATTAGACTGGGAGACCTTCTGGATGTCCTTCTGGACAAAGCCATGGTGGCGGGGCCGAGGCTGAGGTGGTTAGGGGTGATCAGGTTGGGACAGGGTGGTATTTGGATGCAATCAGTCGAGCAGGGGAGAGCAGTTGGGGGCATGCAGGCAGGCAGTGGGGGGCAGTTGGGTGCGAGCAGGCCGGCAGGGGGGGTAGTTGGGGGCGATCAGGCTGGCAGGGGGGACATCTGGGGGCGATAAGGCCGGCAGGGGGGAGGGCAGTTAGGGGTGATCAGGCCGGAAGGGGGGACAGTTGGAGGCGATCAGGCCGGCAGGCAGAGTGGTTAGGGGCAATCAGGCAGTCAGGCAGGTGAGCGGTTAGGAGCCAGTGATCCCACATTGTGAGAGGGATGTCTGACTGCTGTGGGGTCCCAGATTGGAGAGTGTGCAGGCTGTGCTGAGGGACTCCCCACCCCGTGCACGAATTTCATGCACTGAGCCACTAATGAATATACATTAATAATGTACAGTGTATATGTGTATGTAAATGCATATTGTGTGTGTAATATATTTATAAGTATTCATGTATAATAAATGTATTTATATTACACTAATTTGCAATAATTCTAGAGATGATTGTTGCCTTCTAGGTGCAGGAGCTTACAGATCTTCTAAAAGCAAAAAATGAAGAAGATGATCCAATCATGGTAGCTGTTAATGCAAAAGTAGAAGAATGGAAGGTGCCTTTTTCAATTGACATAATGGTTTTTTCATTTGCAGTTTAGATTTCAATTTTTAGTCCTGTTTTCTTTAAAGGCCTTATAACAATTAATGACATATTTATTAGGCATTTAAAAAAGTGTATTAAATGTCCTAGCTAGAAAAACTCCTTTGTCCTGTGCAGTCCTCTAGCTTATTTGTTGTTGAGTGAGCTCTTCCACATTCAGTGAGTTCAACTTGTAACGAAGATTTTTGATAGAAATCTAAGTCCAAAATATAATGTATTTGTCATCTAAAATAGACAATTCTAAATAGACTAAATTACTTTAACATAAATCATAATTACCTTAAATACGTTAGATATGTAGTTCCAGGTTACATTTTAGTGTAGTCAATTTTTCTGCCGCTCCTTCCACATCAGAGTAATCAAGCTTTTGGCATTCAGTGGGAATGGGAGTAAGGAAAGGGATCTTTCAGAATCATCTGTGATGTCTTTTCAAAAATGTCTTCCTCCTCACTGCTCTCCAACCACAGCATATCCCCAGCCTTACCATATCAGAAGTAGGATCCTAACAGTTACATATTTTCAAAAAGTCTGAAATGATTCTGAATAAATTATATTTATATTTATAAAAGCCTAAGCAACCCTTACAACCGAATGACTGGAACGACCGGCCAACCAATTGCTATGACCTTCACTGACCACCAGGGGGCAGATGCTCAACACAGGAGCTACCCCCTGTTGATCTGTGCACTCCCACAGCCAATCTCTTGCAGCCCCTCCCCCTGGCCAGCCCCCTGATGGCCCCAATCTACCTCCTGCAGTCCTTCAGGCCGACCAACCTCCTGGGGTCCCTTCCCCCAGCCAGCTGGCCCCCCGCAATAGGCCTCAGTTGTGGGCCCACCCGTGCATGAATTTGTGCACCGGGCTTCTAGACTATATATATAAAAGCCTAAGCGACTAACCATTCAACCAGTAGCTATGACGCACACTGACCACCAGGTGGCAGACACTCAATGCACAGGCATGGAAACATGGAACAGACTGGTGAATCTCAGAGCGGTGGGAGAAGGGGGAGGGGAGGGAAGAGATTAACCAAAGATCTTATATGCATACTAGAGGCCTGGTGCATCGATTCATGCACACGTGGGGTCCCTCGGCCTGGCCTGCAGGGATTGGGCCAAACCTGTGCACTGGGCCCCCAACACTCCCCGAGGGGTCCCGGATTGTGAGAGAGCTCAGGCCAGGCCTAGGGGCCCACCAGTGCACAAATCTGTGTACTGGGCCTCTAGTTTTAATTATAAAAGCCATCACTTTAGTCAATGTTTCTAACAGCGTTCACATAAATCTTACTGGTTATTTGGAATTGGTTATCACTTGGGAAGCTCAGATAATCTATATTTTAAACAAAGGCAAATGAGTCCTATAGAACCAATTAGAGGACAATGAACCTGTAAAAGACCAGGGAATAAATATTTTAGACCATTTGGTCTTTGGTATCATTACTCAACTCTGCTATTATAGCGTCAAAGCAATTGTAGACAATACATAAATGAATGAGCAAAGTACTAATACATCTTTACAAAAATAGGTAGCAAGCCAGATTTGACTTGTGAGGCATAATTTCCCAATCCCTAGGGAAAAAAAGTTGTTTTTACCATATTTAATTTTGGGAGGAGAGATGGTATCATATGTATTCTTTTGTACTTTGTTTTTCCTTAGTATCTTTTTTTTTGTTCAAATATTTCTTTTTTAAAATCTTTAATGTTAAAAGTATTACATACATCCGCTTTCCCCATTGACTCTTTCTAGCCCATCCTCTAAGTTTTTGCTTAGTATTTTTAAAAATTTTTATAAATAGATTTTTTTAATGTTTTTTTAATTGATTTCAGAAAGAGAAAGGGAGAGGGAGAGAGAAAGAAAAACATTAATGATGAGAGAGAATCATTGATTGGCTGCACCCCCCCAGCAAGGATCAAGCCCACAACCCAGGCATGTGCCCTGACTGGGAATTGAACTGTGACCTCCTGGTTCATGGGTCTATACTCAACCACTGGGCAACACAGGCCAGGCTGCTTTTTAAGAAACATTATATCAGTGCATATAATATTGCATTGTTCTTTTTAATGGCTGTGTAATTGTTCTTAGTGTAATATTTAGCAGGTTTCCAATTTTTCCTGTTGGAAACTATTTTAATGAAATATCTTTGTATATTCATTATTTTGAAAATCTATATCTGTAGAATAAATTGATACAAGTATAATTGTGATACACTTTGCAACTATATTCTTTCAGTTTGTCATTTGTGTTTTGGCTTATGGTATTTTTTTTTTTTTTGAATCCCTGGGTGGGCTTATGGTATTTTTTTGCTATGAAATATTTTTTATGCACTATATAGTTGTATATTTTATGGCTTTCGGCCATTATATCATAATTAGAAAGGATTCTGAATATAAAATTATTTCCTCATATTCTAGTATCTTTTACTTCCATTTTTTACATTTAGATCTTTGAAGTATATGTAATTCATTTTGGTATAAAAAATGAGATATGTATGCACTTAGAGCTAGTGTTGTCCAAACATAATTTATTGAATATTTTATCATTCTCTTACTAAAATATGGTTCCATTTTTATTACAACAAACTCCTGTTCAATTTGAATTTATTTTAGTACTTCCTTTTTTTATATCGATTGATCTATTTTTAACCATGTACACTTGTTTTAATTATTGTTATGTGTAAATATTTGGAAAAAGCTGTTCTCATTTTTCTATTTTTAGACTCTTCCCTATAAATGTGTTTTTTAATACAAATTTTATATATATGTGTGTATATATATATGTTTTTTTTGGTTAATCCTCACCCAAGAATATTTTTCCATTGATTTTTAGAGATAGTAGAAAGGAGGGGGAGAGATACAGAGAGAGAGACATTGATGTGAGAGAGACACATTGATTAGTTGCTTCCTGCACATGGATCGAGCCTGCAACCGGGGTACGTGCCCTTGACCAGAATCAAATTCAGACCCTTCAGTCTATGGGCCGATGCTCTATTCACTGAGCCAAACTGGCTAGGCTAGAAATAGTTTTAAAAAATATTTGTTATTTTATTGTGTATGTATTCAATTTATAAATGAATTTATAGATTGCTGTTGATATTTGGTCCTACTGGCAAGCAAAGAACATAAGATTCCTTTCTTTTTTTTAAATTGAGGTGTAATTGACATAACATAACATTATTTCAAGTGCACAGTGTAATGATTTCATATTTGTATATATAGGAAAATGATCATCACTGTAATAAATTCAGTTAACATCCATCACTATACATAGTTACAGTTTTTTTGTGTGATGAAAACTTTCAAGATCCACTCTCCTAGCTATTTTCAAATACACAATACAATATTAAAAAACAAAGGTTAGCTGCTGTGAAGTAGGTGGCAATGCCTTAATCCTATGCATGTTGTCATGCCCTAGCATCTTTTCCATCCTTGTCATGGGGAGGGCTAACCTCTCCTTTCGTACAACACTATAAGATACCTTTCATTCATTCAAGGTATTTGATGCTTCTCAGTGCTACTTTAATGTTTCCTTCATAAAGATTAGTTATACTGCTTGGCTGGTGTGGCTCAGTGGTTGAGTGTCGACCTATGAACCAGGAGGTCACTATCGATTCCCTGTCAGGGCCCATGCCCGGGTTACAGGCTCAATCCCCAGTGTGGGGCATGCAGAAGGCAGCCAATTAGTGATTCTCTCTCATCATTAATGCTTCTATCTCCCTCTCCCTCTCCCTTCCTCTCTGAAATCAATAAAATCTATATGTAAAAAAAAAGATTAGTTGTACAAAACTTTTTGTAATACATGGAAGTATTTGTAACTTCTTGTTTTAGGAATGGGTTTTGAAAGTTTGAGATTACAATTCCTAGAATAGCAAAAACCACAGTATATATTTTTGAATCATTCCCTATTTGAAATTCAAGTTGTACCCACAAAAGGAACAATGATTACTCAATAGTTGTTGATACTTTTTCACTTCAAAGAATTGTATTTCCTGTGTTTTTTTTAAATCTCCCGATGGTATATATTAGAGTATTTATCATAATTGAGGAATGGTTTGTTGATTTTTCTCTTATGTAACAGGTCCTTTTTCATTTATTTCCAGTTAATTTTGTCTTCTAAAGATGATGAAATTATTGAATATCAGCAGATGTTACATAGCCTAAGGGAGAAACTGAAAAATGCCCAGCTTGATGCTGAGAAAAGTAACGTTATGGCTCTACAACAGGTAAAATTTGGTTTTTCAATCTGTTTTATTAAAGTTGGCTATGAAACCTTGCACTGTCTTATTATATCACCAGTGCCAATTATAGTGGCTTGCACTATTGGATATATAATAAAGTCTCTTGAAGTTTCTTATACCATCCAGTCCCACAAAAAAATTAGAATTAAGTTTTGAGTTGGGAATATAATTATTTTGTGTATTTTTCTGCATTGATATAGATAATATATTCATTGTTTTGATTTTGGAATTATTTCATATGAAACTATTAAGAACTTTTAGAAGTTTACAACATCTTAATACTCTGTTATTCAAGTTTATTATATTGTATTTTAGTGCTGAAATATCCTGTACAATGTGAAATAGGCTAAAAGTGTGGTTATAAGACTGTACTACATAAGGATTTCTAGTTTTAGTACAAATATATTCATAGAGAAAGAATTCACACTTTCATTTTCAGTGCTCTATAGTCATAATTCAAAAGAGAAGGAAATTTTGGAAGTATTTGGTGAATAACAATTTCAGGGGACAATGATTTGTAGAGTACTGCAGGGTTAAAAGCTAAGTTAAGTAAGTGAGGATGCATAGGGCTAAACACAAACATACAAAATGGTAAAAAAGATGGAATTGGGTGGATGATTTCTGTAGCCGGGTTCTTCAGCCAGGTTCTGTCTAGGTTCTCCAACCAAGTTCTGTAGCCAGGTTCTGTCCAGGATCTTTTGCCATGTTCTCTCCAGCGAAGTTCTTCTGTCTCTAGGTTGATTAATTACCCACCTGACACTTAGTTAAGAGGTTTTATACCCTCCCTAACTTCAGGGGAAAATCCCTACCTGGGGAAACAACCTTTCTTGGAGAGGTGACCATGGTTAAAACACATAGTGCCAAGAAGGTGAGCAAACATATTAAGAACAGTATGCCATATATGCCAGGTCCCTTGAAACAGCAAGGATGGACCGGCTCCCGGCAGATGATGGGAAAAAGTAACATAAAAGGAACCCAAAGAAGCTACAAATATTAGAGTTCTAGAATTCCTGTTTGCTGGAGTGTTAGCCATTAAATCGTCTTTAAGTTATTAGAATGACAGCATTGTACTTAATGTTGTACAGTGCAATTGAGATATATAAGATAGTAAAAAGGCATGTTTTGACCCATAAAAAATATAGTCTAGTCTTAATAAAAAAAACAAGACCTACCTTTTTATTTTAAGAATTTCTTTTTAAAAATATGTTTTTTTGACTTTTAGAGAAAGAGGAAGGGTGAGGGAGAGAAATAGAAACATGGTTAAGCTGCCTATTGCACACATGCCCCTACTGGGGATCGAGCCCTCAACCCGAGCATGTGCTGTGACCTGGAATCAATCTGGTGACTTCTTGGTTCATGGGTCAATACTCAACCACTGAACCCACTGGCTGGCAAGACCTACCTTTTTTCTTACTTTAAAAAGGTATGTTAATATTGATGAAAATATAATGTGTAATATTAAAAAATATTTTATAGGGTATACAAGAACGAGACAGTCATATTAAGATGCTCACTGAGCAAGTAGAACAATATACAAAGGAAATGGAAAAAAATACATTTATTATTGAAGATTTGAAAAATGAGCTCCAAAGAAACAAAGGTAATATTTTATAAGTATATCATTATTTTATATATCACCACATTTTTAAATATTTTTGAAAAATAAAATCATGTCATGTCAATAGATATAATATTGCTTTTTCTCTATATGAATTTTATTATATTTTCAAAAATTGTATGGGATATCATTAAGTACTTTACATATCCTCCTAGTGTTTAAATTCGTAAATCATGCAGATGTTTTCTATAATTTTTCTCTAATGAAAATCACGTTAACCTTTGTTACTAGGTTGGCTGAATGAAAGAAATGAAAATGGTGATATAAGTGATTTTTTTAATTTAAAACCCCTTTTAATAATTAATATAAAATGGAAGACAATAAAGTTTTGATCAATGTAGCAGCATTGCACCTAGTTTTCAGGGTAATTCGACTTGTCAACATTTGAATTAATCTTACCCAACTTAATGTCTTATCATATTCTTCCTATCCTGGGTCATACTATCTTGTTTAACACATTAAGTCCTCTGAACATAAGCCTGTAAAACATCAGTGGTCTTCTACTCCCACAGTACTGCATACCATAGATATATCAGAGCACAGTAATGCAAAAAACTATTCACAGTAAGTTATGATATATTTATTATAATCCTGAAGATAAAAGAAATAGGCACAAAGGAGAGCTAATGGGTGTGCCTATGTGTGTGTATGTAACTGTCAGTGATAGAATGGTGATTGTGGGTGGTGTGATATATGAACAAAAACTTAAAGGGAATGAGGAAGTGAGCTATGTAAATGTCCCCTAAGTAGTGGATATAAGTGCAAAGGCGCTGAAGCAGGAGTGTACTGGGTATGTTTGAGGAACAACAAGCTTTTGTGACTGGAGCAGAGTGCCAAGCGGGCAGTAGTGGGGAAGAGATCAGAAATGTAGCCAGGGGTCATATCAGATGGAGCCTTAAAGTTCATTGTAAAGACTTTGGCTTTTAAGTGAGAAGGGACACTGAAGAAAGTTTCTGAAGACAGAAGTGATATGATTTGACTTAGGCTGTATCTGCCATAGAGTATAGGAGGGGTAAGGACAGAATCAGGGAGACCTATTATAAAACTATTGCAATAATCCTATATAATAAAATGCTAATATGCAAATTGTCCCCTCGCCTGGGAGTTCCACCAGGTGGTGGGGTGGTCCAAAATAACTCCAACCTGAACAAATAAAATAACCAAAAAAACAACAACATGGAAATGGCTATTGTGAAAACTTATTACAAGACTAAGGTCCCATGGTGGAAGAGACACAATAATGAAAAGAATGGTCTTCAGAATACATAATATATACCTCAGACAAAAAACTACAGCCTATAGGAACTCAGAGACAAAAAGACTCAACAAATTACAAATTACAGATTCAAATTTTGGATTTTTTCCCATGAAAGAGGAAGAAAGCAAGCCTTTCCCATTTGGAGTTTGTATCTGCTTCCAATAAACTGCGTTTTTTATTAAAGAAGCGTTTTTGTACCCAAATTTATTCAAACTTTGTAGGGCAGAAACTGACAGAAGAAGTCTGCACCCTGAACCCCACGTTGCAGTGAGAACTTGCTGAATTTCTCTGATTGCTTCTGTTTTCTCAGTAAACAGGAAGCAAGGTTTTCAGCTGAAAGTGGGGATAGGGGAATATGTATTAGAAGTTTGAGGAGAGAATAGAAAAGAGGAAATATGAAATGGTCATGTGGAAGAATGAACAGACTAGGAAAATGTAGTGTGATTGTTGAGCAACATCAAGACCCACTTGATATATATATATTTCTATATGTGTGTGTATTATGTATGTATTAGAATTATACTTTGACAGTAGTTTAAAGTGCTTTAAAAGGATGACTGATATTATGGGTGTTACATATTCCAGCCAACAGGAGAAAGTGGCAATTAATCTCTGCTGTTGAATAAGGAAGAGGTCTTATCTAATGACAGCTCAGCCAGTCACAGCATTCGACCTCTAAAGCCCACAGATGTGTGTATTGGAGTATACTCTATGTCTTGATCAACTTGTAAATATGACAGCTAATGGTCTTTCCCCTTTCATTGGTTAGGATTAGGTTTAGCTGTCAGAAACAGATCAGAAAAATAGTAACAAAATCAAGATAGAAATGTATTCCGCACTTGTGCATTGGAATTAGGAAATGCCTAAATCAAGACCATTGCACAGGGGTGTTGCCCTCACCTCCCTTATTTGAAATGGAGCTTTAGTGTCACATCCACGTTTCAGACAGCAAGATGAAGGAAGAAGGGGAAAGAGGCAAAGAGCACATACTGAAGTATAGGCAGGTAAATGTTATGGAGGGCCATGTGGAAGAAAGGGAGAATGGATATTGGGGACCACTCAGCCTCTGTCACATTCTCCATCTAAGGCTAGGCTATTCACTCCAGAGAACAGGGCTCCTTTCTTTCTTTTTTAAAAAAATATATTTTATTGATTTTTTACAGAGAGGAAGGGAGAGAGAGAGAGAGTTAGAAACATCGATGAGAGAGAAACATTGATCAGCTGCCTCCTGCACACACACTACTGGGAATGTGCCCGCAACCAAGGTACATGCCCTTGACCAGAATCGAACCTGGGACCCTTCAATCCGCAGGCCGACGCTCTATCCACTGAACCAAACCGGTTAGGGCAGGGCTCATTTCTTATACAAAAGTGATCTCCCACACTAGTCCAATACCAATACGAAAGTATATACCCAATAAATCAGTAGATGTTTATTATGGATGAGTATAAGACTTATTTGTGTCAATAAATTTTACAATGATAGGAATACTATATTTTGGTCTAGTTTGTTAAGTTAATAAAGTAGTGATTTTTCTTAGCTGTTAGTTAGGTTTAAGTTTAGCTGCAGGTGACAGAAAAATCAAATGTAACAATGGTTTAAGCAGGATAGAAATCTCTGTTTTCATGATATAAACAAAATTGAGGCAACTAGTTGAGGGTAAGTGTGATAACTGCACAAATCAGATATCAGATAGTCTGTATACTCTGCCTATCTTGACATCTGGTTTCCATCTCCTGTCGTAAGAAGACCGTATGAGTTCCAGCCTCAATGCATATATTCCAGCTGCCAGGAGGGAGGAAAGAGAAAAGAAAGATTCACTTCTTTCCTTTAAAAGCATTTCTCGACCAGCATCCGGGAACAGAATGAATGGAGACCAGAAATTGGATGTTTATGACCAGAAAAAGCAGAATTTCATCCAGCACTTATCCCAGATTGTCAGGGTATTAACTGAGGGTGACATGGGGCACCCAGATACAAGAGATGCTATTGCCTGGCTCAAGGAGGGCCTGGAGTACAGTGTTACTGAGGGTAAGTACCAGTGGGATGTGACGGTACTCATAACACTCCAGGACCTGGTGGAACCCAGAAAGCAGGATGCTCATAGTCTCCAGGAGGCATAATTGTGGGCTGGTGTGTGGAACTGCTCCAGGCTTTTTTTCTGGTGTCAGATAACATTATGGATTCATCCCTCACCTGACAGGGGCTAGATCTGCTGGTATCAGAAGCCAGGCATAGGTTTGGATGTCATCCGTCATGCTATGCTTACGGAAGCATGTATCTACCAACTGCTGAAGTTCTGCTGGGAGCAGCCTATTACTCGAACCTAATCAAGCTCTTTCTGCAGAGTTCCTATCAGGCTGAGATTGGACAGAGCCTGGACGTGATCACAGCACTGCAGGGCAACATGGGTATTGGCATATTCACTGAAAAGAGGCACAAATCTGTTGTTAAGTATAAGTTAGCTTTCTACTCTGCCTTCTTGTAGTGGCTGCCATGTATATGGTGGGCATTGAGAAGAGAAGGAACATGTCAATGCCAAGAAGTTCCTGCTGGAGATGGGAGAGCTCCTTCACATTCAGGATGACGACCTTGACCTCTTTGGGGACTCTAGTGTGACACACAAGATTGGCATTGACATCCAGGACAACAAATGCAGCTGGCTGCGGTTCAGTGTCTGCGACGGCCTCTTTGGAACAGCGCCAGATCCTGCAGCGGAATTATGGGCAGAAAGAGGCTGAGAAGGTGGCCCAGATGAAGGCACTCTGTGAGGAGCTGCAATCTGCAGGCTCTGTTCATGCAGTTACAGCCACTTTGTGGATCTCATCAAGCAGTGCTCTGCACCCCTGCCCCCAGCCATCTTCCTGAGGCTAACACACAAGATCTATAAGAGGAAAGAATGA